ACCCTTTACACAAGTCAATGGTGGTGAGATAGTGCCCCCTCGCCATCCGATCCAGGAGTTCGTCTATCCTGGGCATAGGATAGGCGTCCGATACCGTCTTCTCATTTAATCTCCGGTAGTCTACACAAAACCGGGTCGTGCCGTCCCGCTTTGGTACTAGTACTACCGGAGATGCCCAGGGGCTGTCCGAGGGCTCAATCACCCCCAGCTGGAGCATCTCATCTATCTCCTTGCGCATGTTCGCCCGTACCGCTTCTGGGATGCGGTACGGGGTCTGACGCATGGGAAGTTGCCCTGGGGTGTCTACTCGGTGAGTGGCCAGAGGAGTGTAACCAGGTACATTAGAGAAGATATCCTGCTTCTCCCTTAACAGCTGTTGTACCTCGCTCCGCTCCTGTGGGCTCAACCGATCCCCCAGGGTGACCTCCCCTAAGTCCCCGGATAACTGACCCTCTCCCAGCAGATCCGGGAGAGGTAAACTGTCAAACTCCTCGGAGTTAGGAGCACATATAGCGGTCACTTCCTCCGAGCGCTCCTGGTAGGGCTTCATCATGTTCACATGGAGCATGCGTCGCCCCCCAGTACCAACGCACGAGCCTATTATATAAGTGGTGTCACACCGTTGTTCCACCACCTTATAAGGGCCCTGCCAGGCGGCCTGCAGCTTATCGTGTCGGACAGGTTTTAAGATTAACACCTTCTGCCCGACCTGAAAGCTACGGTCCCTGGCGCCCCGATCATACCATGTGCGTTGGCGTGTCTGGGCCGCCTGCAAATTCTCGCGTACTGTCTGAGTTAAGGCCTCAAGGCGGTCTCGGAATGCCAACACATAGGGTATGATGGGGGTACCGTCCGTGCTCCGTTCTCCCTCCCAATGCTCTCTGATCAAATCTAAAGGCCCTCGTACCCTGCGGCCAAACAATAGTTCAAATGGGGAGAACCCAGTGGATTCCTGCGGCACCTCCCGGTAAGCAAAGAGGAGGTGTGGCAGGAACTTCTCCCAGTCCTTGTGGGTCTCTGCGAAGGTTCGGAGCATTTGTTTCAATGTACCGCTGAAACGTTCGCGGAGCCCATTCGTCTGGGGGTGGTAAGGGGAACTAATGACCGGCTTAATGTCACAAAACTTCCAGAGGCGCTGCGTGACTTTGGCGGTGAACTGGGTGCCCTGATCGGAGACAATCTCCCTGGGGAGTCCCACCCGGGAGAATATCTTCATCAGGGCTTCGGCTACTGTTTCAGCCTGTATATTCGTCAGGCCCACTGCCTCTGGATATCTAGTGGCATAATCTACTACTGTCAGGATAAATCTTTTACCTGACGGGCTGGCTTTGTTGAGGGGTCCTATTAAGTCCACTGCTACCCTGCTAAAGGGTTCCTCGATTATGGGGAGGGGATGTAACTTGGCCTTGCACCGGTCCCCCCTTTTCCCCACCCTTTGACAGGTATCGCACGTGTTGCAATACCTGCGCACCTCCTGGCTAATTCCCGGCCAAAAGAAACTTTGGGTTAACCTGTATCGGGTCCTGCTGACCCCTAAATGTCCAGATAGCGGAATGTCATGGGCTATCCGTAGTAACTCTGCCCGGTACCGCTGAGGTACCACTAACTGCCTCATCACAATCGGGTCTGACCCGGATACCTGCTTATCCGTCTCCCGATATAACAGCTGGTTGTCCCAAATAAACCTTTCGCCCTCCCCCCCAGGCGTGTCTGCTGTCACCTTGTCCCTACACACCTGCAAGGTGGGGTCAGTCACTACCTCAGCTGCAAATTCGTTAGGAGGGGCCCAGGGGACACAGTCAAGGGAAGGGGAAGGATCTCTTACCTGAACC